GCAGGAAACACTACGTGGCACCACTGAGGAATCATCCGTGGAAGACCATTGGAACTCTCTGAAGGTAATTTTCAACGAAACGTGCTCAACGGTTTTAGGAAGAAAGAAGAAACAAGACAAGGAATGGCTCTCAACAGACACTTGGAAGCTAATAGAGGAGAGGAGAAAGGTGAAAGAAAAAATGATTCAATGCAAAGATGGACAAGAGAAAGAGACGCTGAACTCAACTTACACAGCACTGGACAAAGAAGTGAAGAAGAGTGCCAGGAAGGACAAAAGACAATTCTACGACAACCTGACTACTGAAGCTGAGAAGGCAGCAGGCAAAAGGGACCTGAGGACACTATATCAGATAACCAAGTCTCTATCCGGGAAGAGATCAACACAATGGAAACCTATAAAAGACAGCCAAGGGAACCAAATTACCAAGGAAGAAAGACAGATTAAACAATGGGCGGACCACTTCAAAGGACTCTTGAACCGACCTCCACCTACAATCCGTCCAGAAATACCAACAACAGCACGAACACAACTGCAAGTTGACACCAATCCTCCAACGAAAGCTGAAGTCATGAATGCAATCAAGCTTCTGAAAGCTGGAAAAGTAGCTGGACCAGATGGAATACCCCCGGAAGCACTGAAAGCGGACCCAGAAACGACACCAGATATGCTGACTCCATTATTGCAAAAGATCTGGAAAGAGGGAAAGGTGCCTACTGACTGGAGGAAAGGTTACCTAGTGAAACTACCAAAGAAGGGCGACCTGGGACTCTGCAAGAACTGGCGAGGAATCATGCTCCTGTCGACGCCAAGTAAAATCCTGAGTCGCATCATCCTGGAGAGAATAAAGGACGCACTGGATGCAGAACTCCGCCCCACCTGAACAAGCTGGATTCAGGAAAGGCAAATCATGTTCTGACCAAATTGCAACTCTACGCATCATCATCGAACAAAGCATGGAATGGCAATCAAACCTCTACCTCAACTTCATAGACTTTGAGAAGGCCTTCGACAGCGTTAACCGCGAAGTAATTTGGAAACTACTCGAGTACTACGGTGTACCCCAAATATTCATCAACCTTATTCAACAACTGTACGACAACGGCACATGTCAAGTGATCCACAACGGAAAACTCAGCGAAGCGTTTCGAGTAAACACAGGAGTCAGACAAGGGTGCTTATTATCACCAATGATATTCCTAATTGTGGTGGACTGGATTATGCGTCAAACAGTGGGAAACGAGGAGACAGGGATATCCTGGACCCACGTGGAGAACCTAGAAGACCTGGATTTCGCGGATGATTTATGTTTGATGTCACACAAAATCGAAGACTTACAAGCGAAAACCGACAAACTGGTCGAAGAAGCAGCAAAGACAGGACTCCAGGTGAACATAGACAAGACGGAGGTCATGAAAATAACCAACCAACAACAACAACATCAGCAACATCCAACGCCAATCACCATCAACGGGAGGGATTTGAAAGAGGTTACTTCATTCACTTATCTAGGGAGCATTGTATCATCCACAGGAGGAACGGACGAGGATGTCAAATCGAGAATCGGGAAGGCGAGAAACACATTCATCAACCTGAAACCAATCTGGAAATCTTCGTCACTCACCATCAACAACAAAATTCGGATTTTCAATACAAAAGTGAAGTCAATTTTGCTTTACGGATCAGAAACTTGGCGGGTCACCAAGAATATTTTCAGCAGGTTGCAGACCTTTGTCAACAACTGTCTTCGCTCCATACTGAAGATTAGATGGCCGGAAAGAATCACAAACAAGAAACTATGGGAACAAACGAAACAGGAACCAATCGCCCAATAAATATGCAGGAGGAAGTGGAGATGGATTGGACACTCGCTGAGGAGGCCGTTGGGTGACATCGCGCGTCAGGCGCTCGAGTGGAAGCCGAAAGGGAAGCGGCGAGTGGGACGTCCAAGGGTGACATGGAGGAGATCGTGTGAGGAGGAGATGAAACAGTATGGAATAACATGGACGCAAGTGAAAAGAACAGCAGAAGACAGAAGCAAGTGGAGACGTGCAGTTGAAGCCCTATGTTCCACTAGGAACCCAAGGGAACAATAATAATAATAATATTTCATCTATATTAACGTGTTTGTTAATTGCATTTTCGCTTGAGTACCAGGCTTCTAGGAATTCCCTGACACTTTTGGTGTTTCCTCTGTTTAAGATTTTGACATGATCCCAATCAAATTAATGACCATAATTGTCTGTATGCATTGATACTAAAGAATACATATCATGTCTTTTCACGGCTGGTTTATGTTCTTGGATTCTGATTCGAAGGGGACGCCCACTTTGGACGATGTAATGCTTGTTGCAGTTCATACAATTTATTTTGTAAGTGGTATTAATTTTATCCCCTTTTTCTGTTGGATCTTTTGGTTTGCATAATATCGAGTTAAGCGATTTTACTGGCTTGTGTTCTATATCTATATCTAACGGTTTCAGTATTCTAGCTGTTATTTCAGAGATATTCCTCATGTATGGTAGAATGAATTTTCTTGTGGTCTTTGATGATGGTTTCTTGTTGGTGTTTTGATGTGACTTTAAACACTTTTTGATGAAATTTTGTGGATAACCATTCTTTTTGAAGACCGTTTGTAGGTACTTTTCTTCCATTCTTTTCAACTCTGGAGTGCTACAATGTGTTTAAACTCTTTTAAACAATGTCTGCACACAATTTCGTTTGTGAGTGATTGGATTATTGCTAGTATAGTTGAGTATTTGATCTGGGTGCGTTGATTTTCTATAAACTTGTGTCTCTAAATCTCCTGTGTTGGTTCTCGTGATTAAGACATCTAAAAATGGGATTTTGTTACCTAATTCTTCTTCTCTTGTGAATTTGATGTCTTCAAATATGTTGTTTATTAATTTATGAGTATATTCTTACAAATGTATCATCAACGTAACGTATCCAGATTTTCGGTTTAATTATAGGTAGAGCTATTAATTCTAATCTTTGCGTAACGGCTTCAGCTATTAATCCTGATATGGGCGATCCCATTGGTGTTCCTTTTATTTGTTCATATATTTGAGTACTGAACTGGAAGTATGTTGTAAGGCATAATTTTATGAGTTCTATCCAAGTTGATAATTGCGTTTTTGTGTTTTCATCACTATAGAGTAATTGTTGCATAGTTTCTGTTGCTAGTTTTGGACAAATTGAGGTATATAATGCTGTGACATCAAAGGACATCGTTATTTCATTGTCTTCTACTTCAATGTATACAGACAATTATGGTCATTAATTTGATTGGGATCATGTCAAAATCTTAAACAGAGGAAACACGAAAAGTGCCAGAGAATTCCTAGAAGCCTGGTACTCAAGCGAAAATGCAATTAACAAACACGTTAATATAGATGAAATATACCAACTAATAAAAAGTAAATCAGGTGACCAAAAGGTTTAAAATCCAAGTCAATAGAAAATGGTCAATACATGTGTAAAGATAGTTACCAGGAGACGCAATTACATCACTCATGAAGAAATTTAAATCATTTCACTTTGTGCTAAATATGGCGCTGAAGATGTTGTCCAGAAGGGACGACGAAAGCTTCGCAACTAAACCAACCAGCTCAGAGAACACTGTTAATTGCAAATCATCCACCTGAGCTACAAATCTCTATTATTTCAAGTATCTTTCCTCTCATGTGACTTAGTGGACTTCATCTACCACTTTTTATTTGAAATTCAGAACATCCATACTGAAGCAAAGTACTGATATAATAGTAGAATATTATTCTGGTGTTAAAATTATGTGGATCTAATTCAATATTCTTGTCCACTGATATCTTAGATTCTCTTTCTTTTCACTTACGATATTCCTCATACGTTAATGTTTTCTGACTGCAGAGTCAAAAGTTAACTACTAAGTGTCATTAATACATATATCAGTGGTCACTTGCCACTAAAACTTTTAATAGAAGTTATATTTGCTGACTAGAATTCTTCAATATTATCTTGTTCATAAGAATAAGTAACTAAACTATCAGGAATAAAAGTAATCACTGAGGAATTGTGGCAAATACATATTCATACATATTCGAAAAAGCTAGAGATACATACACGAATGAAAAGTAAGAGTATTGATCACCGTTTGAGATGGAAGACAGAGTAGACTTTGCAACAGAAGATGTAAATTTCAGACATCGCATCCAGTGAGATGGATACAATTTTCTCCCTCTTTAAGTTATTATTCTAATGAGTAAGGAAATGTTTGTTTCATTTCATGTGCGAATTTTAAATGCCAATGGCCTCTAAACTACTAATTCGATTCTCTTTGGCACTGTAATAGCTAACCTAGGCAACCTAACTGTGAAACAGGTCTTCAAACAGCTGCAGTTATCACGACTGATCGCTCAGATGTCGCGTGAATAAATAACGCATTACAGTCCATCTATCAACACACTAGTCGTCTGATTAAATCATCTCTTGTCAATCCTAATCATGCTAATGTAGAAGGAGAGGAGCAGGGCATGTTCAAATCCTTTTCAATACACATTCAGTCCATAGCAGTCTGACACCCTGACGACCTAAGAAAGTGTCACCATCAGTTTTACATGCAACAACTATCGAACAAATTGTAAACGCCTGTATATTTATGCTTCCTGTAATAGCAGGGTGTTTTATTATCTGAAATAAGCACTAGCATTTATTCATACTGACTTCAAACGAGATATTTATTTTATTTACTCGTCTGTTATATACATATATATATATATGTATACATGATTCAGTAGTAGAATACTTGCCAGTCACGCGGGAGATTCGAATTCGACTCCCACTCAATGCATTCCTAAACCGTGCTTAGGTTATTAGCCAGTAATTAGCCCGTAAAAGTGGGATAGCTGGGTATGAGACTAGCAACCTAAAAGCGTAAGAATAGCACCACGGACACTGAAACTTCAAAAGATCGAAGCTATGTGTTCCACCTGGAACATAAAGGAATGAAAAAAGAAAAACAGTCCATGTACATTACACCTTTATAGTATTGTAAGGAAATAATAAATTAATTAATAGAAATTACAAAATAATTGAATATCTCTTGAATGATTCACCTTGTATTATCTCACTGAACATCAGATATTAAAACAGAAGATTTATGAAGGCATAAGAAGTACTTCTTCTTCAACAACAAAATAAAGAAAAACCACAGACCGTCTGGAAAAGTACAAAATCCATGTAAAAAAATGACAGAAGAATAAAAAAATATTCCTGGCAAGAAAATAGTATATGTCTTTGTTTGAAGAAAGCTCAGAAGGTGTCCGGAGCGCTTTCATCCAGACAGATGAGGTAAAAAAAACATCACAATAAGACTAACTATTATCTGTTATTTATTGCCGAAAACCCGTCGAAATTCTGGATCTTTATGTAGTTGGGAAGTAATATTAGCTACTTTAATCTCTGGAGTGCCATAGTTTGGTGGGATACCAAGATTCGCATAACCCAGCCTTTGTAGAATCTTACTATTTTCGTGTATTGAATTGATAAAATCATCAGATAATGCTGATTCATTTGAAGCCCAAGCAGATAACGAAGCTAAGTGAATTGGATGTACAACTTGTGAGGTACTTGGTTCCATTCTAGACGTATTTACAAAATACACAAGAAAACAAGAATGAGAAAGTTAGTGAACTTGAATGCAATGGTTGAATGGAGGTTAAATCATTTTTCAAGTTAGATTTTGGATTGATAACAGTTAGGGAATCATAGACAGACATAGTTGAGACTCTCCAGGACCTTTCGGTTAACAGGCAATCCCTTTGATCATTCAGCCACTGGTCCAGACTGAAGTGTTCCAATGAGGAATAGTACTCGTCAAAGGTATTAGCTACCTGTGGCGCTATATAACTTGAACAGGCAAAAGTTAGAATCCATGGGTATTGAAATGGTATACCAGTGGCTGAACAGTCAGCAAACTCGCCTCATAACCTGAATGTCCCGGATTGATCCAATGGGGGCAGTGGATGAGTACTGCCGAAGGATAAAACAGCCAACAGTACTTCCTGGTGTTCAGTTGTCATCTGGGTGGTGTCATTTTGTGATCCAGCTTGAAATCAATCAAATCCTCACAATCAAACATTTGAAAATAAGTCATTTTTATTTGGAAGTAACACATCAGGTCATGCTCCTGATATTCTTTAGTGTAATACTCATGGAGTATCTAGAAATGTTTCAGTAAATTTTATGTTCACTTTTGAAATGTAATATTACATTTATTATATTTATAGCGAGTGAACTCCCTGATAAAATCTACCAATCCTAGACTGATCATACGGTTAATACTGAGATGCTTAAACGTTTAAATATCGATGATTCTTGGATATGTTTCAGCATTTTAGGTTACTTTTAGTTTGGTACTTGTAATTATGCGACTGTACTGTTTGCTTTAATTTCCAAATGAATAAATTCAAACGTAGTTCTTTTTTGACAACTGGGAAATTTGTCTTTCATATGCCTGAGATTTTCAGTTAAACTTTCATTTCCCAGCACCCTTCTCTATCTTTGTTGGTAAATTCACCTATGTTTACTACTTTAAGTACATTGGAAGAAGAACAGGAAGGGCTTCTGTCCCGTTCTATAAGAATGTTCCAAAAGTGTGTACCTAATTTGACACTTATTTACAGAAGAAAATTGCCAAACACCTTAGGGATACGGGTAGTTTCATTGACATCTCTATATCTTACAAAATATTAGATGTCCAGATTACTTCCGATTTACTACGATTTGTAGAATCGAGTGAAATCAAACGTCTTCAATTGAACCAAAGCATACGGAATGGGAGTGTAGTGAATTACTGAATTTTTTTATTTTGGTTACACAGTTACATATTCATTCATAAAAGTGATTTTAGATCACTGAGCTGATTTCAATCTTATGAACTACAAAATGGAGATATTCTTGTATACTATAAATTTGGTCTTTCCTACTCTAAAAACAATTAGTCTTCATTGATACATCCGGATAACGCTATTAAAAGACAGACTTCATCTGAAAACAATATGTGATGTGTATATGATATGCTTAATAGATTTCAAACAATCTGATCACACAACTACATGCCAATTCAGTTGTTTTATGAAGATATAGCTCACTTAAAATAAGCGAAATAATAGGCGTTTTACAAGTAAGAAGGATATCAGTTTACACTATTCTTGTGTGGTCACATTATTCAGAATGTATTGTACAAGCGCATCATATTTTATCCTGATTGCACACTAGTCAGTAACTAGTGTAATGCGTCTAGTCCTATCTTCGGTGCAGACTGAGTGCCAACTAGCACGAAACCTTGGTCCAAGGCTTCCTGCTGATTGCCTCCAACCATCTAATACCAAGAATATTTTATCCTTGTTTTTTCACAGAGTTACTGATTAGATTCAAATAATGATAAACAATCTAATCAAATTTTATGTTAGTGGCTCAGACATGGTTGCCAATCACCAATGTGGTACAGCGTTTGATTCCTGGCCGACAAACTCCTAAACCACCTAGCTGGTACGAACCCCGTTAGAGTCGGGAAGTTGTGCCAGAGAGTACTGACCCCACCCCATGAAAACACAACCACTGCTACTGAAACTTTAAACCTCAAGCTTGAAGCTCTATGTTCTACTCTAAATGCAAAGGAATAACAAAAGTCTAATGATTTTTAAAGTATGATTGAAGAATCACAGTATTTCATTCTCCTGTAACATTTCCTTGTACTTAATTAACTCTGTGAAAATTGTTCCCGCTAAAAGTTACAATTCACCTAAATAAAATCCTGAAAGCTGATTACATTTCAAAACATTTTATCAAAAATATTTCATGTGATAGGAAGTTAACTTTCATCGATTCGAGTTCTGCTCCACCCACTTCAGTCTGAACACATGAATAGTATCACTACCCCTCACGCAACAAGTGTCCTTCTTAGCCTGTCTACCTATCCCGGTTGACTTAACTTAATAATAGTAATAAATGAAGTACAAACACTTAGTCTCACTGATATCATTGTAGTTATTTATTCGTAACCTATTGATCAAGTGTGCTAACTAGCTTTTAAAGTTAATTTATACTACTGAAATTCATTTAATGGGAAGTGTTAGTTGAAATTTGATGCGAATTATTTGCTTCATCTAGTGTGCAAGATTTTGACATTTACTATCAGAGGATATTTTCAACTGTTAAAATAGCCTCTGTACCCGTAGGGACTCGAACTCTTATCGCTAGGCAGAGAAATTAAAGACTTCAACAACTGACTATTAAGGAAACCTATAAATGTACGATTACATATATTGTAATCAATGAACTACAGTCATAAATGAATTATGGTTTCTTCTCTTTCAAACATTTGTAGGATAAAGTTGGATTAATATTTCTAACACTGCCAATACGAAAACTTATAACTCTCGACTTTGTCAACCTTCCAACTAGATTCACAGTAGGTTCTAAATGAAGCTTAAGTCAATAAAACGCATAGAATGACTTCAGTCGGTGTTAAATATTAACGCTGTGTACACGTGTCCTAATCACATGTAATCTAACTAGAAAGCTATTTTCGGAATCAAACACTTTACGAGTATTCTCCATTATTATTATTATTATATTATTATTATTATTATTGTTAACATTCAGTGTGGAAAAGATGTTCAATTCAATCTATTTTCAATTTATAGGCAACCAATGTTTACTTACTTGCTAAGAGCATCATGATGCATAGCTTTATCATGATTAAGTACCACAGGGTCCCATGGAATTTTGAGGAATTCTAAAATAAATAATAAACAATAATGGAAGATATAGAAATGATAAGATTATAAATTTTAATAGACAAAGAGAAACTATAACACTACACAAAAAAAAACGCACTAGTTATACAGAATGGTATTCAATATGCATTTATAGGTCAACACATGAGTACCTACTACTCAAAACTATGTGACTTTATAAACAAAACTTCATATAAAAATATCTTTCTTTTTAATAAAAAGAAATTCTACTATTAAACAATGCTAAAAAATTTATTCTGGTTTAATAAATCATAAACAACAGTGAGGAAACAAAGCTTAATTAATTTCATGACACGGTGAAATTTTTGTAATTATATAAGTTTAAAAAATATCTAGAGATTAATATTTAAGGCTGATACTTATGGAGCCATTATTCACAGTTAATTTTGGAGTTTATTTGAGGAAGCATACTAATAATACTACTGCTACTACCCATCTACCTACTATCGACTTTCTCCAGTGTATAATTGAAAATACCTGGTTTAGAATATAACAAAATGTAATAGGTAAAATATTCACTGTTATTTAATGGATGGCTGGGTCTTAACAGTTGTCTTCGCTCAATACTCAAGATCATATGGCAAGAAAAGATCAGCAACAGAGATCTCTGAGAGCGAACCAACCAGGAACTGATTGTGAAATGGAGATGGATTGGCCATACTCTGAGGAAACCATCAAGTGACATCACTAGACAAGCCATTGCTCGAGTGGAACCCGAAAGGGAAGCGGCGAGTTGGTCGTCAGTGTGAGAGTGACTTGGAGGAGGTCATGTGAAGAGGAGATGAAAACGTATGGGCAGACTTGGAGCTAGGTGAAGACTCTAGCAGAGAACCGAACTCAATGGAGAGGCACGGCTGAAGCCCTATGTTCCTGTAGGAATTAAAGGAAACAATAATAATAATAACTAGCATTAGAATCCAGGATGCGCATTTTGTTTTATTTGGGACTCATTAATTGTATTTGCCTTCAGTCTCAAGTAGGTGATGATTTTCCCACTAACAGTGAAACCAAGCATCCATCGTTCTAAACACGAAGGCACTATCCACTAGACCACTTTGGCTATGGGAGTGTTTCGTATTAGGGATAGACATGTCAACAGAGGTCAAACATTTAGGTTCAATGAATCACAAAACTAACTGAAGGAAAATATTTGATACTTTAAGATAGCTTTGATTTTATAGGATAGGATGGAGGATTTCATCATGAGCTGACATCAGTTAGAGGACCACTGGTAAACCTGGGAGTAGGTTTTCACAGTAGCTATTGCTGACTAATAACAGAAATGAGAATCTAATAAGAAGAAAACGAAGGAAAGAATAAATAAGGGAGGAAATACAACAGTAACATCACTTTACTGGTTAATAGATTTACAGATTTACTCTACTGGCAGAATTTTCAAGTTAAGTAGTAAATAACATTATATCATATGACACAATACTGGCTAAGATGAAGCAAGATCGAATATCATAGTACATGTATATTTTGTCATATCCTTCGAGAAGTCAATGAGAGTAGATTGAAAGCTTATTGAAAAACTTGCATGATTACATGTATCAATCCAAGAATCTTATTAGATGATTAAAAACAATAAAAAAATGGAGAAAAGTTAATGCATTTACTCGTAATGGAAATTTAAGTAGATCAGTGATTTAAGCTGGCTTCTATAATGACATCAAAAGTATTTCTACCAACTCCAACTAGTATCAGTATATATGAAAATTGATTGATGTAACCACCTTTCTCCAGATTAAACAATCAGCCAATAAGCTAACCTACCACTTTAAGCATCATTTATTTGTATTTTCAAGTCTAAGTTTGCAGGAATTTCATCGGTTTCTATATGAAAAATAGGCATAAATATTGTATTTTAGGTGGCCTCTAAGAGTAATGATAGATCTCGTTATATGTTCCCAGCTTTTACCTGACATTAGCGTATAAACTTAAAAAGCCTCTTTTTATTCCTTTACGTTCCCAGTGGAACACAGGGCTTCAGGCTAGACCTTTGAAGTTTCGGTAGCAGCGGTGTTTATTTTTAAGGGATGAGGCTCCCAGCCTCATGCTAAACCTTCCCTATTTACCAGTCTCAATACTGGTTTAGAGAGGTAAAGGAGTGCGTTGGCCGGGGATCGAACCCCGACTCACATGCATGGTTGGCGTGCATTCTACTGCTGTTCCACCAACACACATTGAAGATGCTTTAATTTGTTGTTTTTGTTTAGGGTAAAGATTAAAGCTGTCACGAGGTATTTTCGAGAATACTATAGCAAAAGCTACAACAGAAATTCCAGGTATGTAAAATAGTTGATAGAACACCTTCAAAACAGCCGAAAGTAACATCTGATATGATTACAGCATTCTTCCAGGAAAGTAATATAAAATAAACTACTTGAGGAAGTTCAAGTCATAATTGACTGCCTCTGTTCAACCGATTCAAGACAGAAGAGGGGCAATTTCGATTTCCTACAACTTTTATCTCAGCTCTTAAAAATCTGGGATAAAATTGAGACACATACAATTTTATTTTAGTTATACGTTTCATTATTGGAATACATTACTCTCCTTTGAGCTATAATAATAATATCATTATTTATTCCTTGTGTTCCGAGTGTAACACAGAGTCTCATCAGTACTCCTCCGTTGCACTCACTTTTCTTCCATCATATTTAACCAGCTCCACGACTTTCCACAAGCTTTCATTCCTAATTACATCATCTCCTTCATGTCGCTTTAAGACCCATGTCCAACTCGTCACTTCCAGTTCGAGTTTCATTCAAGGGATTGGCATGTGACATCAATCAATGATCTTCTGGGAATACGTCCATTCAACTTCCGTTTCCTTCTGCATATTCAGTCAGCAATAGGTTCTTGGTAGGTTATCTGTCTGACAGTGTTACCTGCTTGTCCCTATTTTCCAGCTGACCAAGTGATCTTCACTGTAGAGCAAAGTGAGCAATTGCTGATGAAAGTCTGCATAAGCCTGTTAGAAATGCTTCTAGTGACGCATTTGCCCAATCTCTGAATCATACAAAAGCGGTGACTTGACACTGGTGGTAAAAATTTGGGTCTTTTTGCTCTTGCTAAGTACATTGAATCTCTACACCGATTTCAAAGGAATTGACGCCTATCCTTCTTTTATGGAACTGATGGGCTTTGACATTCCCATCCATGTAGCCTGTTGAGGAAAATTTGCTACCGACAAAGGTGAAAAAGACTGATTCCTATGGATTTCTCACTTTGATGGTAAGTGGTGTTTGTTGTTTCTTGGGTATCTTCATCTTTTCTATGCTCACCTAAAGTCCTGTGTTCATTCCCCCTTCTACTGATTTACTGATTTTCTCTTTTAAATATTCAAGTTTGTGCAGCATGAGACATAAATACCACCCAATGCATAATGTCAAAATGACTAGATTTTACTTAATAATTGTTTTGGCTGTAGTTTATTTTTTCATCATATATCAGCAGATGTGCTAGCTACTGAAAAGTTGATTTCCTGACCGAAATTGTGGTCTGTGTAAGTCTATTCAGTATACAGCTAAAAGACGATATACGAAATCTAGTCGTCATCTTTTAGATACTGAATACTGTACACTGATTTTTTTTCATTATAATACTAACTGGCTACTTCAACCAAGAAGAGTCAAAAAGTTGGGTTTTTATTCACGCGGTGGCTAAAAGAGCTCGAAAATTTTAGTAAGTTTACTGACGTCAATTAATTGGTTTTCACTAGATGATTGGAGGAAATCCGCAGGAAGCATTCTAACTAGGTTTCGTGCTAGCTGGTACTCGTCAGCAAGGCGTATCTGCAACCTCAAAGGAACTCATATCCCTTCTGGAATTCGAACCCGCGTCCCCAGTGCTGCAGTCAGAGACGTTACCACTGAGCTATTCAAGCTCGCGATCGACCTCCTATAGGACTGTATTGGATATATTTGGTTGGACATTAGTCAATTACTAGTGTAATGTGTCTAGTACTATCCCTGGTGCAGACTGAATTCTATCAGTCATGTTTGCAATGTGGCCACCATGCTAGGTGGCTGGCCATCACTAGCCAACTAACACGAAACCTTGGTCCAAGGCTTCCTACCGGTTGCCTCCAACCATCGAATACCAACAATTCACAGAACATCGTGATGGCAAGCCACCCAGCATGGTGGCCACATAGCAAACTATACTGATCAAATTCAGTCTGCACCAAGGATAGTACTAGACACATTACACTAGTAATTGACTAGTGTCCAATCAAAAATAATTGGTCTTTGTTTTGCAGTAGATAAGTGAGTGATGCTTCTTAAATAGTATTTTCATTATAATTGACACAACGTTTTGTTATTTCACGATAATTTAACTTATGAATCATATGATGCTAAAGTAGTTAGATAAACTAGTTAAAGTTAACACACAACCCTAGATTCACTATCCGTGTAATAACATAAATACGAAAAGTGTTATGTTTGTAAAAAGTTAAGGATACGGTAAAAGTATTTCTAACCAATGAGTTTGTGTTTACCAAAGTACCTGTTGTGAATTTCAAAATGTTATTCTTTTGAGACTCAACGCAAAAGAAATATGATAGATTCAACTACTTTTCAGTTGAAAATGTAATGCTTTTAAATTTACAACAATAGATATAGTGACAATTAAAAGACTTTCGTTGTAATCTTTTGGAGAATTACAGCATTGACATACTTCGTGCAGTTATTCAATGTGGTCATCACTGCAGAATTTCATTTAACAATGTTTACTTTCATGATATTGATTTGATGAAATTTAGGAAGTTTTGAACAGTTGGATGCTAATACAGATTACTAAGTAAGGGTGTCTTATAAAAACGAATCACTTGATATGATTATGAGCAATAAATTGTGCTCGAAACGTCATCAGTAAATATTACTGTATAACACTGTGAGACTCTATCAAAATAAAATCTACCCATAATGGAAAACGAATCACTGTTTCAAATTTGTGTGAGCAAAGAATATTCTACATTGACCGATTACATCATACGTTTATTATTCAGTCTTGATACTGACCGAATTCACAATGTGATTGCCAATCGATATGACTGACCTTGACAGATAGATCACTTTGAATTTAGGTTGGGTGGTTCGAGACACTGAGACTTTTTAATTTATTGCTAAAGTCTCGAATTGCAGGAGTGCGTGAAGAGCATTCAGACCTCAAAGATCAAGAGTTACCTTTTGATAACTAAGGGGAGCCTGTTAACAAGGACTGAAAGACTCAATGGTGAAAAAGCATATTCAACATTTTTTGAAGAGTAATTCGCATCAGAGTAAAAGTTTTCGGTCTTTCTGAGAATTCAGTCAAAATAAACCCTGCACCTCAGCTGATATAAGAAGCAGATAACTGGAGATGAAGAGGGTTAAACATATATAGGGAAAGTAACTGTACACTTTCAGGTTGTATTCTCTGAGCTGCTATTTTCCTATCAAAAGTAGTGAGTTGCATTCCCTCACATTAATACATGTCAGTAATTAGGAATACTAGTTTGATTGGGAAAATACAGATATTTTAAACAGAGGAAACACTAAAAAAAGGTGTCAGTGAATTTCTAAACTCCTAATACTCAGATCAATAGGCACTCATAACACACGTTGATATAGATCAAATTTGTCAAACAATAAAGAAAAAAGTGAAATTCAAGGTTAACGGGACGATCAGTACCAATATAAATGAACACAATGATAAGCGAATCTTTGAAGACAACCAACCATGCTTAACGTTATAATGGGAAACAGTTAAATCCTTTGTAAAGAATTCCAGAAACAACTCAACTCAAACTCAGGTAGGCACCGAAGATGTCTTGAAGAAAAATGAAATTTTCGTAATTCAGCTAAGCAGTTTAGAGAACACATCCACCCCAAAAACAAACATCTGAGTCACCAAATTTATCCTTTAAATTTAGTATGAAGAAAATAACAAAGCCTCTTAGGATGCTGTAATTATCAGATCAGCAAAATGTTATAACATCACACTGGTTATCATATATAAGAACAGGAAAGGACTAAGATCTTCAACCTAAATAAACATCAGGCTTTTTATATTTTATAACTGTTACATAGATAATTAATTATGAAATCGAACAAGAGTATGGATACCACCAAATGGATTTTGCTTTCCTTAAGAGCTTGCTTCATGCATATAGTACTTCCTATCATTACAGTTAGCATAATCTGAACATTGCTGCACACAGTAACCATTATTTCACTTGGTTAGTAGTGTCTAGCACTGGAATCCAGGATTTGTGTTCCACTCTTTTTGAGACTCATTAGTCGACTATATCTGTATCCTCATCTACTGGCTCTGTTCCGAATATAACTCAAAACTAGCAGTCATCGTCTCATCAAACACCATCTCTAAGCAGTATTAAAGCTCATATACTAGAAGTGGATATATCACCAGACACTGAGCATTTTAGCCCAACAGAATCAATGCAAAAAAAATTCAATATAACTTCAACAGACTGATATAATAGTTCAAAGAAAATTATAAATTTTCATACAAACAGGCACAATTGATTCTCACGAACGTGCAAACATCATATAGTTTGACAGTCTTGTAACTGATGCCCGATAATTTAATATACAAATCCAACTTAAGTCGTTCACTGAAGTCTATTGACTAAATGATTGCTAGACTATACATGTAATTTCTCCATTCTTAGACTTTCTATTCAGAGAAGTAGAATAAAGCTCACTTTGTAGTACTCTTATCAGATGAATGTCATACTACGTAGAAGATTTACCTGTCAGTGTATTCATTTAGCTTTAGAAAAAAAACTGTTTTGTTTTTATATATATGTCAAATTCAACATTAACTTAAGTCAGTCTTGTTGTGTATTGATTTAATTAGCTGATTATATATATATATATATATATATATATACGTATATACCGAGCATTAACTCCAGCAATATCAACTCGAAAAAATGTAAGGCGTTACTCAAATTTTCAACATATATATATAAATATATATATGCATATAACCGTATTACCTTAGTACATTAAGTTTTGCTGATGACAGCTTTCATCGGTATTTTATGACGTATCATAATATCAAAAAAGGTATACTAAAGTGAAGAGAATATTGATTGTTTAAATCAAATAAGAAAAATAAATAATTTTAACAGATTTACTCAGTGACAAACTTTTCTGTCGCTAACATACTGTACTATCAATAACAGTGATTCAAAAACCAGCACATCAATACGAATAAATAATAAATCAATCAAAACAGATATCTACTGAAAGAAGATTACAACTGTTTTACGGTAGACATCATCACGAATTGATATGAGTTAGAGAATCAATATAAAGACCAGGATATATTGGAGAATTGTTTCGTTCTAGTTTGTCTGTCACTGTTTCACCGTATTCACCTAGCACTTCACCAGGAATTGAACCTAAGACTTTCAGGTTAGGAGGACGGAATCCAATAGCCATGTTTCTGCTTCATCCAATTCACGACTGATAGAACGAAACACCTGTCCGGTAATTTCCGGTAGTCAATTATTCTTTAAATAATCAATCAATCAGTGGTCTACATTGAAGCTAATCAAATCCCTACCAACTAACACTGGAAAGTTATTCTGATTCGCAATAGTGACTCGCTAGAGGACAAAGGTGCTTGCAGTTCTAGTGAGAAGTAGTGACCAATGTCGTCTATCATTTCGGCTTTGGGCACAGATACTCGTCAATGACACTGGCTGGTGGTGGCTCTATAAAACTCGAATTAATAGAAATTAGAATTTATAGGTCATTGAATTCTGTCCAAGTAGCTCAATGGTCAACGAGTTTGCCTTAAGGTATTAGAGGTGAAGTAATGGGCGTGTACTACTAAAAATACCCAAACTAGGAGCAAACTTCTGTCTAGTACTCCCTGGTTTTCAGTGGTTCTTTAACTGATATCAACTTGTGACCTAACTCGAAACTAATTAAATCCCTGTAAATCAACATTTCATGTAATACGTGCAACTTACAGGTCCGGTACATAGGAAATCTAATCAAGGTAACTGATTTTTAGCAACACTTGGCAAAGTCGAGGAATAGATACCTTTGGGCTTGAACGCACTAATGGGCGAAAAAAGTCTAGTCAGAGGGTAAGATATTGAAATCAGGAAAAACGCACTACATTCGTGAAAAGAGTATTGAATGAAGTGTATGAATATTAAAAAGGATATCTATTTAGTTAGTTTAACATTGGTTTAGAGAAAGATTAGGGTTTAGGATAAGTTAGTGAGATATTAGGGTTAGTTAGGGAGAGAGACTAGGGTTGGGATTCAGTTAGGTAGCCAAATTCACCTCTGCGTCCGCACCTGTTACGTGTCTAATCTTTTGCTTCGTTCAAAATTTAATCAACACATTGAGACTAAAACTGGGTCAAGTCAAGAATGATCAGTTTAAATGTTTTTTAACTTCGTCAACCTAAAAGTAAGATTACATCATGATTTATAATCGGTAATTGTAAAAATTTCATTATGTAATATTACTATGAATTTAAAAGTTGATTTTTCAATCACTCATTATAACTCACGGAATAATTCACTTAAAACTTTTGACGGTGTTAGCACTAATGATTCATATTTCACTGTTACACATCTTCCAGAGCCAATTAATGCACAATCATTCAAGAATTGATCAACACGCTTTTCCCAAGTATAAAATTTATCTTCCGTGTTATTAGGCGTTCCCCTAATTCGAACATTTCGCCTGGAGTATTAAAAAAAAAAGATAAATAAGAAAGTGGCTTAACTGTTTTATTAATATATATATATATATATATATATATACTATAGCAGTTAAAAAATACTATTTAATTTAGGGAAAGCTCATCGTTGGTGACGTTTACCACTTATTTGAGTAATAAACAAGAGCTGTCACAAATGTTTACTAGGCTCTCTTGAAATGAAACATTGAAATCGTTTTAGAACATACTGAACGATATACAGTATTGCTGGCCTGTATAAACCACTAGGCTGCCTAAATTTCCACCCAGCATAATGCATCTATCTAGGCGTCTCCACTTCTTGTTGTTGTTGTTTTCATCTTCCAATTATGTGTCTGGATAGAAACATTAGCTGAGGAAAATGTTTATTTGGCTTCCAACTTATGGTTTTTCACTTCAAGAAGTAAAAGAAGGCGAAATGTTGTAGAGGACTAAGTCTTTTTTTCAGATGGAACAGACTTGCGTCATACTATATAGCGTCGATAGATATTTATCTTAAGACTCTATATGGGAATTAAAAGTTTGCAAGTAATCACAATGAGAACATAATTTCCAGGAAATAGCTAGTACTATTATTATAATCTCACCTACTTGAACAAGTTTTAGCATTTTTATCCCGATAATTATATTATGTGAACGTAACTTCATCAAAGACAACTGAAGCTTGATCTTTCTACTTATACTTTATAGGTACAGACAGAGATTTGTAAAACCCTTACAGAAGAATACAAATTTTCAAGTGCTGGTTTATAGAAATTTGACTGATTTCAGGTTACATTTCATCAAGAAATGACTTCAAGTTACAGTACCCCTGTAAAGCAGCTGGCACTGGAATGCCTAGGTTTTTCAACCTAGTTTGTGACTCTTACGCAGCAAGCAGTATTGAGCAGTAGATTAATCTTCTAGTAGTGGATTGTGATTACAGGATAGGGCTTTAATGAAATCATGAACAGTAGGGTTCCTCAAGTCTGATGTGAGTTCAGGTAGTCACCGACAACACTAGATGAAGGTGGCGTAATAGCCCCCTATTTAACAGAAGTTAAGACTCATGGGACACTGAATTCCATCGTAGTTGTAGGGTAGTAGCATTCTGATCTTTTAATAATAATAATAGCTTTATTCCAAACAGTATTTGTGGTACAGGTATGGAATTTTCAGCGTGCATTACAATATTGTATCTAATTACCTCATAAATTTTTATAAGATTTTAAAAATAAAAAGCAACAACAACAAAAGAAAAAAGAGAAATAAAAGAAATAAAAACAGAACAGCGTTGCATTCACATATTTAAACAATGCACCACAGGATATGAAATATAAAATTAGTGTGTAATAGAATATGTGAGCAACAATATAATAGTAACAAAGAAAGGAGAACAAAACTAATGGGAACTATTTGTTAGAGTGCCGCAGTAAGTTGATCGTGTCATACCTAACAGTTTTCTCACCACATAACAGCTGTGCCAGATAAGGTATTGTGGAGTTTTTGTACTTGGTAGTCCTAGCATATAGCCTCCTATAGTTGCTTCTAGTTCTACCAGATGAAATGCAAGGAGAGAGCTGCGTATAGAGAGGGTATTCGGGGTCTGACAATATAGAATTCGCTAGTTTCTTACATGTAGGTTGCATGCCATAAATTCATTTTCTGCTGGAATCATGGATGCCTATTTTTGAAGAGTCATAAACTACAACGAAACAGCTGTCCGATGCTCCTTGGTTTACAATGATTATCTGACTGAATTCGCTGAAGAATGAAAAATAAATGCCAGTTTGGGCGATCTCAATACATGAACATCTGAACCGTTTTTTATACGCGTTTATACTAACTCAGGAAGTTGTATTTAATTTCCTCAAAACAAATATACGGCAAAATCTACATTTACTACAGTTTATAATTTAATAGTTAAATGAAGTTTACTTATGCAAACCTAAGCCTTAGATATGATAAAAGTATACTTCCATGAAATAATCAACAATCCAGAATTCTTTACCCTTAAATTAAATCCTTCGTTTTATACCTTTGCGAAATAATCCGATCACAATGAAAGCTACACGAGATACCATAGATATTTTTTAGGGTAATCAAGGCAAAAGTCCAAAAAATAAACCCAACCATATAAGAACCATTTATAACTTTGATTGTAAATAGACTGGGAGTAGGTGTTTTGGGTTTCCTTTCTCAATAGAATATTTTAGTTAGCCTAAGGTTTTTGAAACGACACTCGTTTAGTTTATCTGTAGTCACCACAAAAATGTGTTCAGCCTTAAGCCAACTGTTTCTTGAAGTATATGAAAAATCTAAAAGAAGTATCTTATCAGCTTATTTAGGTGCAGAGTCACTTAAGTTGGTGACGATATTAGAAACCTGACTGATAGAATTTAGTCATCACCAACACAAGAACTAGACACATGACAGAAGTTACGCCCTAGCAACCAATCAACGTTATTACATGATGAATGGGTAATAATTAACTAATCAGTACGTACAGCAAGTCTGAATGAACGTAATGTGTATTAGACTGTGTCAATAAAATTCAAAAATAAACTTGAATTAATTCAAATGACTGAATACTGGAACCAATAGTTATGCTTGAGTTATTTATGAGTTTGTCGACAAAAACAAACAGAAAGAAAATAATAAATCAACGTACTAATCAATACAAACAATAACCCACTTCTGTTTATAAATGTTTAGGTATATATATGTATGTATGTATATATATAAATATATTGAAGAGTAATTCACTCAAATATGTGCACAGTAGTGCTGTACATCTAGCTGATAATCTCAAATAGGACAAGACGCACATCCTAGATCCAATTACTAGGCTCCATCAACGAAATAACATCATGATAACCCTCAGACATTACTGAAGCGTCCGTACTTTAGCGTTTGTACTGACGTGTAGTTCGAGTCTCAATAGGAATACTATCACTGACTGGTAATATAGGTACACTGAGCTGATGATTTCTTATAGGAAAGAAAGACTTATCCTGGATTCCATTAACCAGGCAGTAAACTGTCATTCTTATCAAAATGAATTTTAACATTGTTTATTGAATGACCTAAATTCAGTGTTCGTTCTATCCCTTAAGAAAGTAGCCACCAAAGTGAATGTGTTTGTGACTATGCTGTATTGTTGCACTTACTGTTTTATGAATAAAGGACAACTGTGAGTAAGGACTTAGAAATCTCCATCTGATCAATTGCTCTGCTTTATATTTGTAGATTTGTAACGCCATGCTTATTACCTCTAAATGGTACCAATGTGTTAACTGTTGAAATAACTTGGAGGATATATTGCAACATAGGTAAATTCACAGGTATACGGTGTTTATTTAATGGGGAAAAAAGCAACAACATCTTTATAAAAGATATGCAGATGATACTTTTATCATTTATGATGTGGACAGCTTATTCAACCCTTTCAATGCAGCTTACCTTTTCATAAAATTTATTCTGGACTGAGAATTGAACCTACAATCTCAATTCCTGTGTGTGCTAAATACTAGAAGAACAGACAACTACATCTGGCTAAACAGTTCATAAACTTCTACAGCTATGTCCCACTCGTCAGAAAACAAGACTTAGAGCGTTAATTATACTGAAGATGTCGCAAAGTTTATTCAAAAGATATAGTGGATATTGAAAATACAATCCCTAGATTTATTGACTGCAATATGAGGAAAAGTATGTCATTACCAAGAGTTTTATCATAAACCTGAATTTCAAAGTTGATATTGAAACCGAAATCTATAAAAAATCATCTTTCCGAGTGTTTCAGAAAGGTATTTTATTCAGCTACCTGCAGAATCACATTCTAAGACAAACAGATAACCTATTCGTACGTCAAGAACAGAATAATGCTTCTGATCATGTCAATGTTTATTTCGGAATTTATTTGTTTCTGTGGAGCAAAGTACATTGGCTGTACACAATGGTAACTCCATAAGCTTATTTTGGAACACTGTTCGGCTTGAATAGCCAGGAAAGAGACAAAGAATATCACAATTTCCGTCGTGTCACACCTTATCGACTCTGGGTACTAAGTACCACTGTATGAATATTTCAGATTAATCCACAACTCCAAATATACCATTCATATACAGCCAAATCACTGATTACTATAGACCTTATACACAAAATCATTCACCTTACCATGGTCAGGGTATTATCCTTACCATAGTTTTGTTCACTTTTTGTAGTTTTTTTTCACTACTATCATTGTTTATTAATAACTTTGCCTTTCTCATACGAATTTCATTTAAGAAGTTTACTGTCTTCTGTACTCTGTTGTCCATTTTGTGCATTCAGGATGATTCATATCCTTTTTTAAACTTGTTATGCAGTATCAGCATCAGATCACTAAAAGAACGTGATCTTTGATATTCAGTTGGATTATTTGAATTATGAACTGCGATTGTACAGCTTTAAATAAATGGCTCATCAAAAAGCAAATTATCTTCGCCATTACATCTTCTTTATATGAAAAAGAAGCCTGATAAAGTAATTAAACTGCAATGGTGGTTATGTAACCAGAGATTTATGTGACTACACAATAGGTCATTCTCAGTTTAATATGACTATTGAATATTTGACCTCAATTCCTTGAATGTTATTTATTTTTTGTGATCGAAAGTTTGACTACAATGAGAATGACTAATTTCTTACCCTGTGAATATACCCAGCGATCATTGAAACAAAATAAACATTTTTTTATAGTTAGTTTGTTGTACTATTGTCTCTTGACTTTATTCATTTGATTCCGGCTGGATGACTTAATTCACCTTGTGATTAAAACTGACTTTTGTAGGGTATGTGTTTAAGTTAACAAACCTGGAATAGAATACGTTATTTTACACTGAACAATATTGAAATATAAGTGAATATGTCAAGCTGTATATGCCTAGTAACTTTAAATTAGGTTTGCTAAATCAAAAATTGAATCTCAACATGAATACTGCACTAAACATATTTAAATGAG